TTGAATTCTTTTAATGTTGTAACCAAAAAAAAATTGAGTCATAATCAAATATTACATAAGAAATACATAATCAAACTAATATTATAATAGATATCACAGTAAATTTAATTTAATTATAACTAATAGCAGAATAGGTTATACGTAAACATTACAAACATCGTAATTGGTGCATATGTTACATACCACAAGAGTGATGTGTATAGTAGAATTTTCCTAAAGTATTTGGTAAAGTTTAATTATTGGATAACCAACTAGGTTTAGCTTAGCTGACCACTATTACTTTCCTAAAGGCTTAATTCCTAGGGGAAGGTAATGTATTCAACTCTCTTTAGGGAAGTTGAATTAAGGAAATAAACACTTGGTGCTTTGCAAAGGGCGAGGAGTCTGACTCCCATAAATACTAATATAATAACTAACAACTAACTTTTGGCGATAAAAAAAAAAATTAATTATTGGATACTCTAAGCACATTATGTAATATTATTTATGTAGAAATATAAATTAATGACATAACCAAAAACCTTGATTATTTAATGGGTTTGATTTATGAAATGGGTTTGAAATGGGCTTGATGATTTATGTTGAACATGTATGTATTTGTGTGTATTATATATATCATTGTGAACACACACCCTCTATAATCTGATGGCTCTGTTTTTTAATACACACGCTCTAATATCTAGAAATCTTTTTTTTCTCAAAGAGTCAACTTGGAATTTTACACAAATTGTTAGTGTTATTGGGACAATTATATATGTTGTTTAATTATTATTTTCTTTTTCTTTGATTCAACTAGGTCTTTCCTTGCTGGACTCTGTTGTTTAAAAAATTCAACTTCAGTGTTTCTTTCATTTGTCCTTTTAAATTTGTATATTAAAAAAAATTGTTTAGTACAGTTAAGATGGTCACAATTGTTGACAAATAGGGTTCTATCACTAGAGAATAGAGAGATGAGCTCTTGCCAAATTTTGGCATTGTTATAATTTGGCACCAAAAAATAGCACATGAATTGGAAGTGTTGTTGGCAAATTTTGGCTTTCGCATGAAGGGGAAGCATACCATTAGAGTTGCTCTAACATGCAATTTCCATGTCATTTGAATCTTTAAAGCGGCTTTGCCACGTTCCAATATGTATTTTTTTTATTTATTATGGGATATAGGTTATTTGAGAAAATGGAAGTCATTGCCACCAACGTTAATAGTAATAAACATAATTGACATTTTTTTTTGTGGTGTTTCTTGTGATAAATGTGTATGAATGTGCACTAAATCTGAGCATGTTAATGAATAGATTTAAGCATCCATTTTATGAAGTTTTAATACATATCGGAATGTATTATCAAATATGTAAAACAATTATATGTATTTGTTTACATGTGGTACAATCATAATAAGTTGCAAGTCTTCCCATTTAATAACTTCTGTTGTGGGCAACTTTTATGGCCTTAATTGGTTCTATATTAGTGTATCAGTTTTGTGTTTTTGGGCCAAAACTTGAAAAGTGAACTGCAAGTCCACATGACATTTGGTTATATATGATTAGGGACAATGTAAATATTGAGAATACAAATATCCCAAATATTGAATCAACTCTTTTATATATATAGATACGATTATGGTTACGTGATCTAAAATGGGTTTTGAAGATGGTTTTCAAGATTGTTTTGAAATGGGTTTTGAAGATGGTTTTGAAATGGGTTGTAAGATGGTTTTAATTTATAAAAGAGTAAGGATTGAATATGGTTTTCTTTTTTTAAAAATGGTTAAAGCTGATTTTAGGATAAGTTTGGAATTTTTCAAAAATATTTGCTAAAAAAAAATAGTAAGGGTTGGAGTACTCCTATCAAATTAAGTTTTTAACCAAGATTTCAATTGAATTTGATGAAAAAAGAAGAGTAAGTATTCGAAATATCATTTAGTTGTTGATGGATGGCAGATATTATTCTGAAGGGGAAGAAGACAGTTGCAGATGTTATGCCAATTGCTACAGGTCATGAGCGTGAAGAACTTTAGGCCGAACTCAAGGTATCCTATTGTTTATTCAGTTCAATTCATGTGTCTGATATGTCTGTGTAATACCATATACATTTGATAGTTTGAGAGATAATTGAATATGAATTTAATCTAATTCTTTCATTTAGGAAAGGAATGTTCTAGAGATGAATTATCCAGTTGGACCTTTTGTCCCCAAGGTTTGAATTATTGGACCTTTGCTGTGTACTATGATTTCTGCTTTACTTTGATTATGCTTTCATAAGTATCCATTGAGTTCTGCTTTATTTATATGCATTTTGATCCCAATCTGATATGCATTTATAAAATTAATTTGAAATGTTGGATTTCTCACATGGTTTTATGTATCTGCCACATCCAATTGTGGGAAATTATTTTTCATGTTTATAAAATTATTTTTCCAACATCTATAGTCCTAGGGGTGTGGATAAACATCTACATCTGATGTTTATACATAGAAATTATTTATGTATTTGCCACATCTATAGTGGCAGATAAACATCTATTGTGGAAACATCATCCAATGGGTTTGATTCTTTAATAGGAAATGGGTGTTGATTTTCTATGGTTTTGAAAAGCTTTTGATTGATAAAATTATTGGACCGAAGACTTAAGTGGGTCTTTCTGAGTAGAGAATTCTAATTTTACATAACAAAACAGAGGGTGTTTTTTTTATTAAAAAAAAAAAAAAATTGGAAATTGGAAGAAGAAAATAAACATACATTTTTTGTGTTTGATGGGTTTATTTTTTGTGGGTTGAGAAAAGAATGGGTTGGTTTTTTGTATTAATTTTTGACTTTTTAGCTAATGTTTCAAATTTAACCAATATAAATAGGAGTTAAATTAATCTTTTATTTTTATTTTTATTTTTATATATGTATATATATCTATATATATATGATTCCAAACCCCAAACCCCATATTTATGTATGATTCCAGTATGTATATATAATATTGAGAAGCCATGTCTAAGAAAGCCATGTTTAACAAAACCTGTGCCAATTAATTAACAAACTGAAGTGGGTTTCTGCTTTCTAGGCAACCAAACAAAGGGTTATTTTTTTTTTAATAAAAAAAATGGAAAATTGGAAGAAGAAAATAAACATACCTTCCTCTGCTTCTTAGGGCATGTTTTTTTGTGTTGAATGGGTTTATTTTTTGTATTAGTTTTTTACTTTTTATCTAATGATTCAAATTTAACCAATATAGATAGGAGTTAAATTATTCTTTGTTTTTTTTTTTCTTTTCTCCTTGAATGACACTTAGGGCATGTTTGATTAGCAGTATTAGTGGTACTATTTTATTAACCTGTTAATCAAATAAGGCCTTAGTTTGAGTTTTATTTATTGCATAAAACACCTGTTTATTAATTTGTATAGCATTTTGATAACATTCGAATTTATTAGTTTGTATAGCATTTTGATGTAATTTGAATTTTATTAGTTTGTAAAATTAATCTATTAGGAGTTAAATTAATCTATTATTAGTTTGAATTTTATTAATTTTATTACGAGTTAAATTAAAATTTTAAATTAAATTAATCTATTATTAGTTTGACACTTAGGGCATTTTTTATTAATAGTATTAATGGTATTAAATTAATCTATTAATAGTATTTGCTGTCTAAATATCTCAAAATAGAATGACTATGAAGGATCAATAGATGTATTCCATTCCATTGCATTATTTTCTGTGAGTTGGAGAGGCATTTGAGTGCGACAAGATGAAAAAAGAAGAAGAGAGAATGTGATAGTGCTAATATTGGTAAAAATTTTGGGCACCAAAAAATTCTTGGTAAAAAGTGTCATTGTCCACATGAAATCACTCTAATATTTTGGGCACCGAAAAATGCCATCACACATGAGAAATGTGTTTGGGGCTTCAAGAATATATTTTTTGCATTTGTGTATAAGTGGCTTCTTATTTTTGTCATGGTGGCTGACCACAATCACTCTTCAAAATAGGCAATGGCTTTTTTAATTTTAATTTTAATTTTTATTAAACTAATTTGAAATTGATTATTTTATTGTGTACATTTTTATTTGCATAAGGCTTGGTTTGGTTTACTCATCTAAATTTGTTTGTTTCATCTGAGATGGCCCTAGAACAATTTGTGATCAATGTAACTTTTGATATAGTGGTCTTCCTATGGTTTTTTTGTTTGGGTATGCTACATAATACATAATTTCTCTTAAAAGTTTTACGAAAAATCATCTAGCCTTTGTTGGTTGATTGATTGATCCTTAACATTTTTGGTTGTTTGATCACAACTTTGAGACACTTTTCATAAAACATTTTTATGGTCGTTAACATTTTTGCAATACATAGATTGTAATATAAGAATTTTATTAGATAGTGCATTCAGGCACGGGCATAAAACACCTATTTATTAGTTTGTATAGCATTTTGATAACATTTGAATTTGATTTACAAATAATGGGGAAAATGGAAAACTGAATTTTGATTTTTCTTTAGTATTTATATTTCTATCTTTGTATACAAGTCTATAATTGTATTTTATGTATGTATGTATGTATGTGATACAAGTCTATAATTTAATTTTATTTTTTGTGGCTTTTTAAATAGAGAGAATGAGTTGATTTTATGTGTTAGTTTTTGGCTTTTTAGCTAATTTTCCTATTCACAAACAAATTTAACCAAAATAGATAGGAGTTAAATTAATCTTTTTTTTTTTGTTTTTTCTTTTCTCCTTGAATGACACTTAGGGCATGTTTGATTAGTAGTAATAGTGGTACTATTTTATTAATCAAAGGTACTACCCGTTTATTAGTTTGTATAGCATTTTGATAACATTCAATTTTGATTTACAAATAACCTCTACGATTTATTAAATGTCATTCATACACAACCAACCAAGCATTAATTAGAGTCTAACAATTGGCCAAATGGAAATCTGAACTTTGATTTTTATATTTCTATCTTTGAATATCTTTAATAATCTTCAATAATCTTTTGTTTCAACAATATTGACAACAGGTTTGAAGCATTGAGTCTGAAGCATTGTGGACTTCCTTAAGACCTTTCATATCCAAACAAGGTAAATTAATCTTTTATTTTTATTTTTATATATGATTATGGATGTATATATATCTATATAATATATATAACCAAACAACTCTGTTTTTTTTTTCTTGATGGGACTTTTATCTCTTTGTCAAAATATGAACCATTGCATTGAACTCAATCCAAAGGCTCACAGTGTCTCACTCTCTATTTGGTCCAAGATCATTTTCAACCCACAGCCCATGTCTCTCTCACACACACACACTCTCATCTCTTTGTTTCTGATTTCAAATTTTGATATCAGACCCACCTTTTCTCTCTCTCTCTCTCTCTCTCTCTCTCTCTCTCCATCAACCCTTGCAGGCGACCGAACCCAAAACCCCTATGTCTCTTCATCTTCTCTTTTCCTCCCTTCTCTCTTCCTAATCGTCGCCTTCTCTCTTCCGACCAAATGGAGCAACTATATATATGATTCAAAGATAGGAGATTCAAAGATTCAGAGATGGGACCGAATGTATGTATATATATGCATTTGTGTGTATTATGTATGATTATGTGATTTTATATATGATTATGGGTGTATATATATATGTATGTATATGTAGATTTTATATATGATTATGGATGTATATATAGATTTTATATATCTATAATATGATTCCAATATTTGGTCCAAGTTTTTATATATTCAAGAATATTTTATAAAATATTTTACACACAAATGTTGAACCATTTAGACAATGTGAGGCATTTTAATATGATAAAATATGATAAATTTTTTTTTTTCCAGGTAGCTTTAATTGATTTTCTTTCCCACATTGGAAGTTCTGTATAATGATGTTGCATATATGTTCTGTATAAATGCACTAACTCTTAATAAATAGAAATATTTATTTAACACATCTTGAAAGATAACTTCTTCTTTTTTTCTTTCAGGTAGCTTTAATTGTTTTTCTTTCCCATATTGGAAGTTTTGTACCTGCAGATGTTGCTACTGTGGGCTTGACTGACAGGTTTGATTTTTATATCCCTGGCCTTTTGGTATCACTAATTTTTTTGGTACTGCATTTTTGCATATTTTAAGATATTTTGCATGCCAGAATTCCAAAAAAATAAGATATTTTGTGCCATGGGAAGCAAATTTATGAATGCTGAACAATCAACATTTATGATTGATCTACATCATGTTAGAATGATGCTAAGGTATAGTTACACAGTTTTCTCTTAACTTACTAATAATGGACATGGGATTTTATATATTCAAGAATTTATTCAAGATGTTATATTCAAGAATATTTTATAAAATACTTTACACACAAATGTTGAACCATTTAGAAAATGTGAGGCATTTTAATATGATAAAATATGATTTTTTTTTCCCCCCCAGGTAGCTTTAATTGTTTTTCTTTCCCACATTGGAAGTTCTGTATAATAATGTTGCATATATGTTCTGTATAAATGTATTAATCCTTAATAAATAGAAATATTTATTTGACACATCTTGACAGATAACTTTTTTTTTTCTTTTTTTTCTTTCAGGTAGCTTTAATTGTTTTCCTTTCCCATATTGGAAGTTTTGTACCTGCAGATGTTGTTACTGTGTGTTTAACTGACAGGTTCGATTTTTATATCCCTAGCCTTTTGGTATCATTAATTTTTTTGGTAATGCATTTTTGCATATTTTACTACGAGAACTTACCAGAATTCCAAAAAGTAGGATATTTTGTGCCATGGGAAGCAAATTTATGAATGCTGAACAATCAACATTTATGATTGATCTACATCAAGTTGGAATGACGCTGAGGTATAGTTACACAGTTTTCTCTTGACCTACTAATAATGGACATGGGATTGACATCTACCCCCCGCATCCTTGGTGTTTGGTTCTGGTGATTAGTCCACTGATTTGGAAAAAGCACAAAGGATTGGAAATGGGTTTTGTTTGGCAGCCGAGAAATTGGGAAATGGTGGTTTTTCTCAGGGGTGTGGGAGTGAGTGTTTAGAGAGATGGAAAATTGGGTTGAAAGATTCATTACCACTCCTTTCCCTTTATCCATTAAAAAACACCACCTTTTTATTTTTATAATAAAACTGGTATTTGATGAATCTTTTTTCTCTTTACTTCACTTTTTTAGGTCGATGATGATATACGGATGATGATCCAAGTTAGGTTTTGTTCCAATCAAACGCTATATCTTCTTCAGCTATTACGAGGCAAATATGTACATGTTTTTATGTATTGGTGTATCTTCGAGGGTTCTCTGACTCTCTCTCTCTCTCTCTCTCTCTCTCTCTCTCTCTCTCTCTCAGCAGCACTGTAATGATGTATTTGTTTTTGGCTCTCCACAAAATGTAATTTGTTTACACTTTTTGGAGAGTATGTAATTTGTATGCAATCATTTTTTGAACCATAAAATGATTGCTGCTGTTTATATTTAATTTTACAGTTTATATTATGGTTGCCGGTTTGGTATTATGTTGATATATTGATGGTAGTTAATTTGTGTATTGTGTCTATTCTATATGTGGATTGATGGATTTAGTGTTGATACATTAAAAATTCACACCAAAATGGCTGTTTGATTTTTATACAATTGTAATATTTGAATCTGTATTTTGCAATTTTATTGGAATTCATTGTGTGATTTGACTTAGATTATCATTGTGGGTGTTCTTTGTTATCTTGCTGCCATATTTGAAAGTGGGGTTCAAGTGCCAATTAATCGAGGGTTATCGCCAATTAATTTGTTTCTTTGCTTCTGTTTAAATTTTGAATTCCTAAAGTATCTTAGAGATTGTTGAGTTTATGTAAGATTGATGCTGAGTTAAAACTCTTTCTTTTTCATGTACGAAATCAAAGTCTTAAATTTCGAACTGGCAAGGTAAGATTGTTTGTTTTGATTTTGGTTGCTTCGGCCACTGTTGTTTTGATTTTGAAATCAGAAATTATGAAGAAGAGGTGTTTTTTGGATAATTTAATTTTGGTGCATTTTTTGGTTGCTGAGATTTTAAAGGGAAAAAAAAAGGGGGGGAAAAACAATTTGGGGTTTTGGTGACCGAAGTTCATATTTTTTTATAAAAATAAAAATAAAAATTGTATTTTCAACATTTTGTTAGTAGCTGAATAGATTTTAACTCAATACTCCTATTTATACTGTAGAACACGAGATTCAATGTTAAACATGATTGCTAAATATGTAGGACATGAGATTTCCTTTTTGAGAATATGAGATTACAAATTTGAAATTACAGTTTTAACTTAGTACTCCTGTTTATACTATATATGTATGAAATTGCAGTTTGAAATTACCCTTCGAACTCGCACTCGGAAGGTAAGATTGAGGATTGTTTCTAAAATATTTATATTTATTTTTATTATTTATGACAATGGGATCACACAAATTATAATTGAAAAAAATGAAAAAAAAATATTAATGAAAAAAAATTTAAAAAATTAATTGAAAAAATGACAAAAACAAAGATGTAAACTCATTGGAAAAAAAAAATTAATTGAAAAAAAATGAAAAAAAAAATTAATTAGAAAAAAAATTAATTGAAAAATGAGATTAATTGAAAAAATTTATTTGAAAAAAAAATTATTGAAAAAAAAATTAATTGGAAAAAAATAATTGAAATTTTTTTTTTGAAAACTGAAAATGTAAACTCATTTTTTGAGTTTACGTTTTTTCCTCAAATTTATAAATTGAGACAACCATTTATAAATCAAAAAAATTATCAAACAAGTTTTTATGAAAATTTTTAAAATTTTTATAAATATAAATTGAAAATTGAAAACGGAATGGTTACCAAACAAACCCTAAATACGTAGGACATGAGATTTCCTTTTGAAATTACAGTTTTAACTTAGTACTCCTGTTTATACTATGGTCTCGTTTGGGAAGTGGCTATTTTAGTAGGCTATTTGGCTTTTTGGCTATTTTAGTGGCTATTTTAGTTTTTGTGTTTGGGAAGATGAGATGATTTTTTAGTTGAGTTATTATATTGAAAAGTGTGTTGAAATGATGTTTAAATTTAAAATGACAGATTTATCCCTAACTTTTTATTTTTTAAAATGAATATAAAAGGGCAAAATGGTAATTTGCCCTTGCTGTCACACTGTGCGGCTATGACAGCGTAGGCCGTCCAGCAGCCTATTTTTTTTTTTTTTTTTTTTTTTTTTGAAAATCAGAGAAAAAGGTGCTACAGTAGGAGCTTATGGGCTAATTTTCCAAAAGAGGCTATAATAGCCTAAACCTCTTATTGCCAAACACCCCCTATATATGTATAAAATTGCAGTTTGAAATTATCCTTTGAACTCGCACTCGCAAGGTAAGATTGAGAATCGTTTCAGTTTTTTTTTCGCTTGAGAATTGTTTCAGTATCTTTTGTTTATTTTTATTTCCTATATTTTTGGTAATTATTATTATTTAAAAATAAATAAAGTCTAAAAATAAAATTAAACCGCATGTGTTTCATCCTCTAATTTTGCTTCTCTAATTCCATCTCTAATGATGTAGAATTAGAGAGGCTAATTCTTTATAAGTTTTTTAAGAAGAATACTTCTTTATATTTTTTCAATATCTTTATCAAAAACTAACAAGACTCTACAAATTTAAACATAATATGCATAAATTATAATTATATTTTAATCTCAATATTATTTACACCGTACCTCTAGGTACGAACATACACTAGTATACATATAAAAGACAAATCAGCCATGACATCTCATGACCTTTAAGAACTTGCTTGTCAGCATCAATAGAGCCCCACCATCTCTTTACGTACACCAAAAACCTTGCTTTACAGCCGCCCAAACATAATGCACAATACACGGAACTATAACCCTTTAGTCAACAATGATTCATCTCACTAAAAACATCACTACTAATAGCATTAATGCATAAAAAAAATAAAAAATAAATAAATAAATACAATTTCAAAATCAAAACATCACATCATTAATGACGGGACCCACTGTCACCTAATTAGTGGGAGCACTAATTAGTGCTCCCAAGCATTTTTCCCCTTTAGCAGCCCCCTGTTTCAGCAAGACCAAGTCCAAAAACGCATGGGCGGGAAAAAAAAGTACTGCCCAATGTGCGCGTAAACCCACGCAGAACCTTATTACAAGAGCTGGAGCGTGAAAACCACCCTCCTTTACACACTGTAACAATGAGGCGGAAAACCATGAGTAGGAAACCCACGCCGGAAAATCATAGAAACATCCCCGCCGGGTTAGAGACCTGCCCAACGTAGACCGAACTCAGAACCGAGCACTGAAACTCGCCGAATGCTGCCAAAGACTCAGCACCAGCCGTTCCATTGACCAACATTCTCTCTCTAGACTAGAGAGAGAGGCTAGCAGCAAAGTAAATGACCATTGCAAACCGGAGACGACCAACAACGGTCACCACACCAAGCTGTAAAACTCACCAGTGACATCCAAAATCCTCCTTTAGCTACTAGATTTACATGAACGCAGAGACCACCGTCATACCAACGAACCTACCAACAATGACCAGAACCCCGACACAGGCACTAACCCACGGACGGTTTGACCATCGGTAGCTAAAAGATAACTACTCGCCGTCGAGACTGTTAAGTTTTTATTCTTGACAATTTTGTTTGACAAAATTTCTTTCAGTTGTACTTATTTTTGCACTTTTTATTTCAGTGAGACTATGAGTTTTTAGATGCGAATTAAACTCGAATTGTGCCTTGCAGAAAAATTTTGTGATGTTAATTCTTTCAAGATTGCCACTTCGCTGATTATGACGAGAAAGGCTGCACCTGTGTAAAAGCCTGAAAGAGATGAATGTACGCTCGAGCGAAAGCTACGCCTGTGTAAAAGCCTGAAAAAGATGAATGTACGCTCGAGCGAAAGGTGCGTGGCTCGAGCGAAGGCATTTATGAAAAACACGCGTTTTTGATTCCTCGCTCGAGTGAGTATCGCGATTCAGATTTCTATAAGTACGAGTTTCTGTCAGATTTTAGGATTACTTCTCCAGATCTTCTTCTTGGGTTCTAAGGTTTATATCTGTAGATATTTTGCTGATTTTCTTTGATATTTTGATTGAGTATTCAACTCATGGTTTAAAGAGTATACATCAAAGGATTGTTTGTTTGTTCTACACAAAAGAGAGAGTTGTTCTTCGGTGAATTCCGAAGAATTCGAGCCTGAAGCTTTGGTGGATTCTGGAGTGGCTCATCGTCAAGACAATTCCGAGGTGAAGACGAGGTTGGAAGAGGCACATAGAGGTTGGTTCAATTCGGGCGTGGATTCACTAGGTAATTGAGAGTATACCTGTGTAATTCCTTTATATCTTCTTAATGGATTGTTTTGTAGTTGTTACTCGTGATTTTTTATCACAATTGGAGGTGCTCCAATTGTGGTTTTTCACGTTAAAATCGGTGTGTCAATTTGTCTTGATTGTTTAATTGAGATTGTTTTATTCCTTTAAATTGATACATAATCACAAATCAATATCTAGCAGATTTCTAGATTTTTCAGAGACAACTGGGATGAGATTCCATTCTCACCAGCCATGGCGAACCGCAACTCAATGTACTAGAGACCGAAGTCATAGGACTTGAATACATCACAGAAGCACCAGAGAACTCCCAAACAAAACTTGAAATTACACAACAAAGATCAACACCACCTCTAAAACCGAGCTTAACAAGCCTGAAGCACACTCACTTACCCTTAGAATTTGGGTAGAGGAGTTAAAACAAGCTGGCCGGACTGCACCAAACCCTCACCACCATGATACACCACCGGGAGGAAGTTTTCTCTCTCTAGATACTAGAGAGAGAAGCTCCTACTTTCTTCCCCTTAATCATTTCATTTTCAACCATTAAGAGATTTACGATAAATAAAATATGAAAGCAAGTAAATTCACAAGAGTAAGAAAAAGTTGGCTTGTGAAATTGAAAGACATGTAATCACTGCTCTAAAGCCGTTGTTCCTTCTTACGTAAAGGTATAACCGAAATGCAATGACTCCAAGATACAACTCAAACGCTCACAACCTTTCTCATCCAATGTTCATATCTACTACGAGAATATGAACGAGTCACTAACCATAATTGGCCAAAAATACATAAAATAGATAAAGTTACTCTTATATTAAAACTCAATATCTCATATATAAATGTATTCTTATGTTTCTTGTGTGTGTCCTCCATCTATAGGAAACATAGGAATATATAGGTCAAAATCTTCTAAGAATTAACACAACAATTAATTGTAACATAATTACAATAATAATAATAATATCTTCGTAACCGAAATATTTAAAACTAATATAAATGTTAACAACGGTCAAACAAATTAAATAAACATAATTAATTTTATTTTTATTAAAATTCCAACATTATCATCTTCACAAAGCAAGGCACATATTATAGTATTTATTTGCAAAATAGCTGGTGAAGTTTCTCTACTATTATAAAAATATAGTTACATATTAGATTTTCATAGATGCAATCCCTAACAAGATATGTC